AATGCATTGACATTTAGTGTGTTTATTGTTAAATTATATTGCAGATTAAAGCTGTAATAACTTTTAAATAAAATAAAATTTCTTACGGTGTCAGAAAACAACGTTACTTATGGGTATCCTTAATCGCTTGCGCTGGCAATTAATTGCGGACCATAACGAGTGACCAAACCGTATATACAATAATTCGCCGCTTTCTTTTTCAACTCGTCGGTACGATATCCACTGGATCGAAATTATTTACAAGTAATAAATTTATTATTTGCTTTGCCTATTTTGTTTTACTCAAATATATAATTTTACTTATTACAACATCTTATGCCATAATATATAATATGTTATAACATAACCTATGTTATGCCCAATATAACTTATACTCTAGTTAAATGCATTGATATAGTGTGTTTATTGTTAAATTATATTGCAGATTAAAGCTGTAATAACTTTTAAATAAAATAAAATTTTCTACGGTGTCAGAAAACAACGTTACTTATGGGTATTCTTAATCGCTTGCGCTGGCAATTAATTGCGGACCGTAACGAGTGACCAAACCGTATACGATAATTCGTCGCTTTCTTTTTGAACTCGTCGGTACGATATCCACTGGATCGAAATTATTGACAAGTAATAAATTTATTATTTGCTTTGCCTATTTTGTTTTACTCAAATATATAATTTTACTTATTACAACATGTTATGCCATAATATATAATATGTTATAACATAACCTATGTTATGCCCAATATAACCTATACTCTAGTTAAATGCATTGACATTTAGTGTGTTTATTGTTAAATTATATTGCAGATTAAAGCTGTAATAAAATAAAATTTTAAATAAAATAAAATTTTCTACGGTGTCAGAAAACAACGTTACTTATGGGTATCCTTAATCGCTTGCGCTGGCGATTAATTGCGGACCGCACGAGTGACCAAACCGTATACGATAATTCGTCGCTTTTTGAACTCGATCGGTACGATATCGCTGGATAGAAATTATCGAGAAGCAACAAAATTTATTATTTGTTTCGACTTAAATATATACTTGAAATACTGAGAAAATATTGCAAAATATTTGAACAAAAAATCCTCGACGTGCGTGGCACAAGAGGTTAATTGCAAGTTCTGCCTCCGCGGGGTAAGATACGCTCATAACCGGCGGCGTCTGGAAACGTCTGAAGTCGGTCAAGCGTATCACCTTTAGGGAGATGATATTAAGGATTCGGGACGCGGTATAGGCGTTGCTAGCTTATCTAGACACTCGTTGGCAGAAGTACGAGACGGCGAAGGATCCTCTCTGGCTCTCGAGGCTTTCCAATTTAACCGCTCTAGAGAACTATTTAACCGGTATTGTACCGCTCGCCGACTGATCGCTCAAAGGATGCATGCCTGCCTCCCGGTAATGGGAGATTTAAGAGTACTTATCGTCCTTTTCCACTTGATAACATATCGCTAGCTCAAACAGAGGGAAATAACGTTGAAGATAACGCCAGCCGGAGGGAAATTTATACAGTGGATAACCTTTTTTTTTCCATTAACATTTAACATTCGGACGTTGTCACTTTACCACGGTTGCGCGTTGCACAATGCCTGAATCTGTGTCTTTATCTCTCATTTTTTTTTTTCTTTCTTTTTCTGGCGGAGAAGATAAGATTCTTATTTGTTAATAACACTTTACCGACCGAAATCCGAATATCCGGATTACTTGAAACTAGCGCTTACGTATTTAATTAACAATGTACTTAATAAACTATGTTGTTATTCGCTTGTTAGCGATCGTATTATAAGCTGCCCATACTTTTCAAATATTATGAATAATTCCTTCTGTAACGAATCAGAGTGATGAAAATAGTCTCTATATAGCGCTATGTAACCAAAATTGGAATAGTTGAATAAGAATTTTATTGTTTGGATAATTTTTACCACGAGTAATTATGCCCTTCTTTTTAAATTTAGTGTTAGAACGACTATTTTTAGTAGAGCGAACGAAATATTTTTTTTATATTCAGGCGCTTGGCATATTTGCTACTCCAGTCTCAGTTGCCATACTGATATTACATATCGGTTGTCAGCGAACATGCAATTGGAACGTATTGAGTTTCAATTAGATATACAGCTCGATAAAAGATTTATCCAAGTGTCTCTCTCACACTTTTATAAACTACACGTAAAGAAAAATATTCAGCACTTCACGAACATGTCTCATTTCGGGACTAGTTATATTTGCACACAAAAAATAAAATAAGAACAGAAATTTTAGACGAGTATCTCGAAAATACTCTTCATATTTTCGCCACTACAAATGAGCAACAAGCTCAGTATTTCCATTTAAAAATTTTCATATCTTTTCCAATTAATATAAATATTTATATTAATTATAAATAATTAATTTATTAATTATACCAATAATATTACACTAATAATGTTAATATAATAATAAATAATAAAAATAAATATTTTTTCCAATCAATGTATTGTTTCACTATAGAAAGCTCATTTTCTCACAACTATAGGTTACATTGAACTGATTGAAAAAAAAAAAAAAATGCAAACTATACGTGGTTCTCAACAAATTTGTGTTGGCCAATGAAGCCCACGATTTGTCAGCTTGCTTCATCAGCGCTTTGCAAAACTGATTGCAGCGAAGATAGTGATATAATTCGACAAAAGTGGCGTTGTGTACTACGCGAATCACTGCACGTTCGAACGACTGTTCCCGAGAAATTTGCTCCTGGAAGATTATCTCCAGATGCAATAGTAACGTTCCCTCCTTAATACGCGCAAGTCAAACAGGAACATTTCGTGTATTCGCCAAATTGCAAACTGAACAACTCGTACAGGTTAACGAGGGACCACGCCGCGTCTCACGTGAATGAGTTCTTCGGCAAGTTTCCCCGAATTGAATTTACATTCGCTCCAAATCTCGCTCTATCCGATTTAAATATAATCATGCGACAGAGGGGGTAGGGAAGGGGGAAGCGATTGCCAATTGCAAACGATGGTTTACAATAATAATCGCGAAACTGCGACGGCAGGAGCGAGGACGAAACGCAAACGGAGGAGGGGGGAACCAATTGATCGACGCGCAAACAGCACGAGAGGACAAAAGCGGGCGAGCGCGTTGGAACGCGGCGGTGTTTTAGCCGGCCGCGATTTTTCCATTTTCCAAATAAAGCCGTATTACAGCCGCGCGCACAAAAGCCGCGGAAAAATGAATACAACGGGGAAACGCGATTATAACCAACCGAGCGTACCTTTTCTCACCGTGTCCGTGACAAAGCGTCCACGCGCGGAGGAACTTGCGACTAAACATACATGCAGATATGTAGCTAGAGAGAGAGAGAGAGAGAGAGAGAGAGAGAGTGAGTGAGTGAGTGAATAGAGGGGATTCGTTTAACTTTTCCAACATTACGATTCAGCGGACAACAAGGCGGCTTTTGGAAAAAAACCATCGATCCTGGCTCACCTTACCTACCGGTCATGAACACACACACACACACACACACACACACTCACTCGTGTATTTATCTATTCTTTGAAACGCGCACGTTTCTTCTTTCTCGCGTTCGGTCATCGAGTATGCGAGCCGCGTCCGCGAGGGACTTCCTTCGTGCACTGACAATCATCGCGCGGAACGTAGTCATCGTCTGCGACGTTCGAAGACGACGGTTGTCCAAGTACGTGACGATTTGCTTGAACACCGGAAGCTGGTCGAACGTGAGATCGAAACCGTCGGCATCGATCTATTCGACGCTGGCGTATCGATTCTGGACGCTGAGCAATTTTCAGAACTAGTGGTGTCCAGGCTCTGAGAGAAGGTTCACTCGATGACGAATTGTAAAATTCGTGGAGAATTCTTGACTTGCCGTCAATGATACGAATTGCAATAAGTTTTACAATTATTGTACTTATATTTATGTATAATTGTAAATTATGTAAATTGTTATATTTATATTTATGTATAATTATGAATTATGTAAATTATTAGGTAAATTATTATATTTATATTTATGTATAATTATAAACTATGTAAATTGTTACATTTATATTTATATACAATTATAAATTATGTAAATTATTACATTTATATTTATATATAATTATAAATTATGTAAATTATTATATTTATATTTATATATAATTATAAATTATATAAATTATTAAATTTATGTATAATTGTAAATTATGTAAATTGTTATATTTATATTTACATATAATTACATTTATAATTATATAAATATAATTATATAAATATAACAATTATATTATATTTATATAAGTTATGTAAATTATTATATTTATATTTATATATAATTATAAATTATATAAATTATTAAATTTATATATAATTATAAATACATTATATATAGTTATATATAAAGTTCTCCAGCCGAATTGGAATTTATGTCTGATCCGTATCTATAAAATCTAGGTTATACGTGTACAAATAAAAAGAATAATACGAACCTCAATTTCAAGCCTGAGTCTGAGTGTAGCTTTTACGAGACGCGTCTTCTCTTAGCCATTGGACATCTCTGAAACATTATTGAATTTGCTTGTCAGTAAAGTTTTACACCATGGATTTGTCGCGCTCTTGGCGGCAATCGGGAGACGAGAATTAATTTTCTGGAACAAAAATTACTCCAAATTTCTTATTTGATCGAGCGCAGAGAATAGATAAAATCGTTCCTCTCTCTCTCTCTGTCTCTCTGCTTAAATGATTCATAAAAGATAGGAAATCTTCAGTAAATGACGAGATAAAATCTTCCCTCCGGAGATTCTATGGCGTTCAAACATTCTGTGTTTATCATTTCTCGTAAAATTCCGTTGTCCCTTCCGCGTTTGGTGGCTTACGATTGGTCTGACGAAAACTCAAAAAAGTTTAAAGTTTCAAATTGACCAAAGTGTTTTGAAGCCTTCCAGAGAACAGAGAAGTCAGTATTCTCGCTTAAATTGAATGTTAAACGAAGGAATTTAAAAATCGACGATCATTGTCTCCCATTATATCATATTTCCATTGGTCATTGAACTTTGCTGTAATATCGACCGATAATTCATCGACCAATGCATTTTACTTTTGTTTCTTTTTTTATTTAGGAGCAATAATACATTACGATCATTTCTTCTAGAGAAATATAAGCAGGGTGATAAATGGCGCGGAAGTGTAATTTATTATTACGCGGTGTTGATTCGTATAGGTGAATGCTCTACTTTAACTGAATCTACTGTGTAGCTCGAGAGATGCATTTTGTGAGATTATGTCGCGAGGTCTTATTGAGAGATACTTTTTGATATTAATTTCTGCAAAAATCGTAAAATAGTTTTTCTTTCATCTTTGGAAAAAATAAAAATCGTGATGTTATAAAATTGTCTTGCGGAGAGAATTTGTAAAATATTCTTTCTTTCAGCTTTGAAGATTGTAAAAAAAAAAAAAAAAAAAAAACGTGAGGTTATAAAATTGTTGTCTCGTTGAGAGAATTCGTAAAAATTCTAAACTATTCTTTCTTTTATATTTGATGACCATAAAAAAAAATCGCGAGGTTATGAAATTGCTGTCTCGTTGAGAGAATTCGTAAAAATTCTAAAACATTATTTCTTTTATATCTGATGACCGCAAAAAATCGCGAGGTTATAAAATTGTCGAGAGGATTCGCAAAAATTCTAAAATATTTTTCCTTTTATCTTTGACGACCGCAAAAAAAAAGAAAAAAAATATCGCGAGGTTATAAAATCATTAAGAAAATTCGTAAAAATTCTAAAATATTTTGTCCTCTATCTTTGATGACCGCAGAAAGAAAGAAAAAAAAAAAAACTCGTGAAATTATAAAATTGTCATCTCACTGAGAGATACTTCCCAATCTCGATTCGTAAAAATTCCGAGATATATTCCTTTCGCCTTTGACGATCGTAAAAAAAAAAAAAAAAAAGAAGGAACAAAGGAAGAGGGATGAAAAAGGTGTATTCGCGGCGGTGATCGAACGATGTCCCGTCACGGATAGTAATTTACCGGATGGAGAGAAACAAAGGGCACGCCTGAAGCAGGGTTTTCTTCCGCCTATCGTAAGAAATATATCGTCACCGAGAGAAGCCCTTGAGGGTGGGTTGGCTGTTGAGAGCGAGTCGCGTGGCCTCGTGTGTATATGCCCCCGAGAGATCGATAGCCTCTCTCCCGATAAGGGGGAGAACGATTAACGTGGTAATGACGTAGCGGAGGAGTGCAAAGGCCCTCGAGGAAGACTCGACGGCGCCTGGAAAAGGGAAAGGTAGGATTCGACCGACTGCGAAACCGGGGAGGAAACCGACCACCCCTCTCTCTCTCTCTCTCTCTCTCTCTTCCATCGGGCCGTGCTAATTTCGAATCTGCTCGTTGTTCCGGCCAACGCGCCGACAAAGCTTTGATGCCTCGGTACAGTGCAAAAAAACCAAGATAAAAAAAGAGAGGGTGAAAAAAACAGAAGAGGAAGACGCGACAGAACGAGGCGAGAGACGGAGGAAGAAGGAACAAGGAAACTGCGCCGGTATCGGGGGGGGAGAACAGAGTGAAAAATATAGACGGGCGTTAAAAATAAAAGAGAGAGGGAGAGGAGAAGCTCGATGTTTCCCCTGTGGGGGCGAAACACACACGCGTGTCTAATCGGGGTGCAACGGCTGGCACATTCGAACGCAAACTGGGAAACACTTTCGGGAAATTTCCGAAAACTCCTGACGCTGGTGGCAGCGTGCCTGCCTGGCACAAAGGGGAGAGAAATGTGAAACTATCGAACCGGGAAAAGACCGAAAAAGAACAACGACCGTGCGGAAGACTGACGCCGGACGCGCCTGGCTCGCATCGATTTTTAATAAAATTCCGTGGCTTAATTCACTTGGCTTTGATTTTCATTTCAAAGACTAACCCCACTCTCTCTCTCTCTCTCACTCTCTCGCTCTCTTCTTGTTGGCTGCTAGTTCTTTTCCGGGAAACTGTTTTTTTTTTCTCTCTCTCTCTCTCTCTACGGTTCGATTGTGATTTTCGGAAGCGGCCGTTGTTCCAGAATGTTACGTACACAGCGGAGGGTGTATACGAACCGAATGCAGACGAGGGGAGGGTGGCTGTACGAAGCGATTCGTGATCAGTCTCGTAGAGAATGTTTATCGCCCGATTCACAGTTCCCCCGTGCTTTCGAAAGTGCGCAAAGCGAGCAAATTTAACGCGTAAATTGTTTTTGTTTGAATGAAAAAAAAAAAAATAAAAAAAAAGGAAGAAACATTTCGAACTGGCCAACTGCGATCGCATTTATGGGGGATGAAATTCATCGCAATTAACCTTCTAAGGACGGAGTATTTAAATCCCCCTTCGCTAGTGGACGGATTTAAATCGCCAGGCGAAGTTTAATTCATATAAATTATTGTAGTTGCTATATTTTCAAAGTTAATCAAATCAAATAAAGAGTCGAGCTACTCTACTCTAAGCAAGAAGAGAGAGACCGTCGATGTATCGGACGTTAGTACTTAAAAGGTTAAATCTTGTCAATCTACGGAGGAGGAACCGTTTCTTCATCGATTTATGCACTCGGCCGCGTATAATCCGGATTGAATTTCCTATTAATGCATTCACTCCTACGTTCTAGCCAACTTCCACGGCTTATCCTAGATGTTATGCACGTGTGCTGCCACGGATAAGCTCGGAATATAGATAAACACGGCAGATAAGAAGTACAATAGATAAACGCCGTTCTTGTTTCGCTTGGCTTGTATCGAGGACGCATTAACATATTCCGCCTGGGATAAAAAGTAAAAGCCACGAGAACGGAGGCGCCAACGTTTTGTCCCTTGTCGTTTGAACGTTATTTCGGGAAAATTTCGTTACATAATCGGATTAAGTTTCCTATTAGCGCAACCTCCGCGAGTAGTTGCAGCTCGTACAGAATTAAGGTGTTAACCTGAGTAAACCCTGCTAAATGTAAAATTGTTTCAGGATTGTTGCACACTTCGTATCGACGAGATTTACCGTTCCCTTTTCGTTTTTAACGTTTTCGTCGTTTCAGAGATAAGCCGTATAAAGATAATTGTATTCTTTCGTTCAATGCACTCTATTAGACTGGCCCAAACTCTTTCTTCTTCTGTGTGCGAATTTTTCACGGAAAAACGAAAGCTTTTTTCTTTTTTTTTTTTTTTTATATGGGGGTTTAGAGTCGCATAAACTACGAGGTGTTTAGCGACGTGCTGGAATTATCTCTTTATATCTGGTCTAGTAGTTGGGTCTTCTTTAAGTAATTGATAACGTTTCTTTGTTGTTTCTGGCTAGAGCGATGTTTTTGTTTAATTTGTACTTCTTAAGTTTCGGTATTCTCTGCATTCATGTAGCAGGTGTTGGGTGGTAATCTGTTGATTGCAGAAAGGTGGTTCAGTTTTGCTTAGGAGGTATTCGTGTGTGATCTTGAAATGTCTCCGATTCGAAATCTAGTCGTGGCTATCCTTTCTTTTCTGCTTATATTGTTGTTTGGTATTTTTTTAGGTAGAAATGATGTGCTATGTCGTGTATTTTGGTTCTATTTGCCATAGTCCAAATTCTGTTCCATTCTTCTCTTTCCGCTTTGGTCGTTGAAGCTAGTATGCCTTGGTATGGGATTGGGATGTTGGCTTCTTTTGTTCGGTACGAAAACTTTGTTTCGCTCGATTCCGGAAATTTCAAAAAACAATTTCCAAGAAAGATTTCAATCAAATCAATTCTGATCACTGCCGTAGTTTGAAGGTTATTTTTTTCCTCTTGACAGCAAAATACGACGAAAAATGTTTCTTTTCGAGATCGACAATTGTCAACGAGATCGTGCATTTTCTTTTTCCGAGACAATCTCGAACAGTCAGGTGTCAGATCGAAATTTGCGATTTAAAATGAAGTTAGTTGCATTTTAAGATGGACACGTGTACGTCCATCGATTAGAAAAAAAAAAAAAAAAATGGAATTACTTTCTGGCCAACCAAATGTCACAGAAAACGTTTGAAAGTTTCACAAACTGTTCACAGAGTGTTTGAATGAAACTCGCGTAACCTTCGACTAATTTCCACTTGGAAATTTACGACACGTTCCCCTATCAACGAGCGAGAGAAAGAAAGAGAGAGAGAGAGAGAGTGTGTGTGTGTGTGGAATTCTGAAAAGTCGAAACGACGAAATTCAATTTCCCTCGCAAGGATGCACTCCGCACGCCGACTACCAAATGAATTACTAAAAATCGAAGAGCACGAAGCTTCGTCGAGAACGAAGACGTAATCAACGCGTGTACGCTGTCAGCTAGTTACGGCCGTGCGTTACGTGACAATTAGAGCTAAATCGTCGATATTTGTCGCGAACAACGAGCGAATCGATTCATCTCGACTGCAGGCGAGACGACTAATTCGACGTTAGTGAAACGTTGTTTCTTGCTCGAGTGAACCACTGTAAAGTGGAGGGGATAAAACGGGCGACTGGCAATGGAATAACGAACGAAGCGAGTAAAACGCGAGTAAAATTTCATCGACCATCCGTTATTCGATTGAGAGTTCATTGGAACAAACCGGG